ACAGATGCACAGAGCAGCTCGCTGGAGCAAGATAGGAGTGGGATAGCAGCTGAGTTGCCTTGGTCTTTTGCAGACCAAATAATTAGCCTGGGCAGAGCACCCTGCTGGACTTCAGGTCCCCAGTGATCTTCAGTGTCTGCCCTGAACTGAATTGCATGATTCAGACTTTTGCCACCCTTGCCAAATGCAGATGGGGGATGGAGAATCAAAGCTAGAAGTGTTCTGTATTTCTCTGTTTAGGGTAGCTGTAGATTCTGCTTTGCATTTACAATATAGCCACCTGGAAGTAAAGGGCAGAGAGGCTTTCTCTGCTTTTCCTAACAAAGGGAATTTGCAGGTTCTTCCAGCCAAACCTCAGTGTGAGGCAGGAGAGCTTGGTAATGTTGCAGCTGTATCAATTTGCCTCATTTAGAACAAATCAGAAAAAAAGTTTGGGTTTAGAAAGAAAAGATGTGTCTAGAAATTATCTCTTCATTTGTGTATATTATGATATAGTGTAAAATGCATGCTCAATTGCTGCTGAATTGTTATAATTAATTACATTATACCTTAAACAACTGGAAGAAATGTATGCATGTTAGAGCTGGACCTGGAACTTCCTGTCTGAGGCTGCTTGTGTTGTCCATGAATTCAGGCAAGGCTTTGAAGCACCAAGTGCTTTGCAGTAAAATATCCTTTGAAAGATTTTGGACTTCAGCAAAGGAGCTAATACACACCACCACCACCCTCAAAAGCACCCAAAACCCATATTGAGTGTCAGTGCTGTCAGTAATGCACTAGCAGGAGCTCTGATTTTTTGTTGCTACTCAAACCCAGATGTATTTGTAGCTTTGTTTATAGTTCTTTCATATATTTGAAGGTGTTCCACCAACTATTGACAAGAGAACCATGTCTCTGCTGAAATCCTAGCCAGAATGTGTTTTCTCCTCCTACACTTGTTTCTTTGGGGATTTGGCTTGTGCCAGCCTGCACAGTGATAGTCCTCTGGAAGACAAGGCTTGCACGTAGTGTCACAGTCAGCCTGGCTCTCAGTTGGGTTCAGGCTTTGGGAGAGAAGGGAAATTGCAACTTATGCGCTCTTCTGCTTCATGTTCCAGTTGGCCTTGGATCTCTTATTTAGCAGAATAGGTACTTTTAATGTGGTTTCAAATTGAGGGTCACAAATTACTTGTCAAGCGATTTGCCCATATAATGTAGCACTTTGGACTTTCATTCTCAAAGGTGAACACTGGTATATTTACAATCTTCTGAGGGAGAAAAACAGAATTTAATAGGACTTGCTAAATAGAGCAAATGAGGCTGCAGTGCACTTTCCCTCTGTTATATATTAAGCTGATGTTATTAAGTGTTAACTTAACAATGTATTGTATGGACGGCTAAAAGGGGCCAGGAAAAGTCTTTGTGTAAAACATGTAAACAGCTAGTTTTTTTGGGTTTTTTATTGGAATCATTAACTGCACTGTAGTTAAATCCTTTGTTTTCATGGCTGGTTTAAATTAAATTAGCAACATCGTGATTTTTTTTTAATATGGTGGCTTTAATTCATATAAAAAGATTTAGTGGAATAATTTATCTATGTATATTTTAAAGGTTTTGTTTTGTTTTGTTTTTTAATTAAATTTTTTCTGGCAAAAAGGTGGGATTGTCCAAGGCCAGTTCAGGAGAAGCATGTTTAATATGTCAATTTCAGTGATACTAGTAATAATGATCCAGTGGTATTTGCCCATTTTAAGTACACACATAATAGTGGAGATGCATAGGAATTGAGAATAAGCTCTTGAGGCAAGTCCTGTGGGACTTAAAGGACCAATGTCCATTAAATTTCGAATATTTGGGCGCATAATGCCACAGATTTTCCAGGGGAATGCTCAGCTAGTCTGCACCTTAGCATCTGTACCTAAGCAAAGCTCAGATTTAACAACACAAGGATATGTATCATTAAAGTATAGAGGACTATACTAAGTCTGGAGGGCATTTGCTGTGGTTTTCATCCAGACCAGACTCCAGGCATTGAGGATTTATGGATTCTGTCTCAGTGCAGCTTTCCTTTTCAAGAGGAGGGGTTTTCTGCTCTGGTGTAGCCCTGCTGCCCTTGAGCACCTATCATCTTGGCTTCCTGGTCAGAGCTGAGGATGTCACGTTGGGAGTTCTAGCTTTCTACTTCAGCTTTAGCATGTTTCAAAAAACCTCTTTCAAACTGAAATGGCATATCTAAGTCAAACTCATGAAGTAATGCTGGGGACTCTGTCCCAGCTGGTTTTCCCAGAGAAGTTTGGGGTCTGGCCACTCTCAGGGCTACTATAAATCTTGCATGTCAGCAGACAGCAGGAGGTGCACCAGGATTTTTGGATAGTTTTTTTTTTATATATTTTCCTTCTTTTTCCACTCTTTCAGACCCCTGTTAATTCCCAGTGAAATGCTATGGTCATCACAGCATAGGAAGCCCTATGGGGCTGCCAGATACACAGGTGAATGCCAGGTTTGCCAAGACCCAGCATGTTGCAGAGAGCCCTTGAGGAATGAAGCTTGATGATGGTGGGATTGCAGGATCCCCACCCACAGCCCTGGAATTGCCCTTCCACATCAGCTTCAGCAGTAGTGACACAGGTCAGCCCCATCTGTGGCTAAGACACAAGAGACTCTATCTTCTTTCCTTCTCTGTACATCCTCATGTTGCACTCAGCTCTTGTTCCTGTTTTTTTCCTCCTTGCTTCATCCTTCCTTCCTCCTACGTGTGCACCTGGCCGTTGCTGTCTTCCCCATGTGCAGATGGGGCTGTTCAATAGCCTGTGTTTGTGGAATGAGCTAATTTAAACACACACATTTGTCTCTTATATAAATGTGTTTATATTGTTTTTATGTGCTTTTGCATAAAAGCTGGATCAAATAAACCTGAGCCTGCATCAAATAAACCTGGGAAGGGTAGTAGCATCTGCTGAATAGAACAAGGATCCAGTCACTGGGGCTAGAGTAGAAGCTCCTCACCTGAACAGTTGCTGACCATGCAGTAAAGTACCACCACAGCCTTGTCAAAATGCTCTTAAATAAATGTAGGTTGACCTGGTGAAACCCTTTTTGGGATTGCTTAAACACTGGAGGCCATGTTGTACAGGCAGCTGGGGATCTCAGAGCAGTTTTGTGGCAGGAGTTTTAAATGAGTGATGGTGTAAGAGGTGGCTTGTGGCCCCTTCTAGAAGCATTGGTGTGAGTTATTTCTGCCAGAGGTAATTTCTCCTCTGGCAATTCTACAGCTGCCCCTGAGCATCCCCCCAAAACAGCTGCCAGGGAGCAGTAAAGGCAGTGGTGGCAGCAAGAGCCAGAGAGTGAGAGAGTGAACATCCTCTTTCATTGGAGAGGATATTCGAACACCTAAGAACATCATTATACAAGTGGAGGAAAGACAATATTAAAAAATGTCCCTGTCCTTTCCCTGCCTTTCTGGAAACACTTCAAAAGGAATGAAATGGGCAATCAGTAAATGATCCTGCAAAATACATTCCTGATCTATCAGCAAAATCAAATTACCTAAACAATCAGAGATTAGGAACACTGCAAAGCTTTAATCCTTCCTCTAAGGGGGTAGACCTACAGTTTGTATTTACTGGAGCATGAAAATAAAATTTATTTCAGTAGGAGAGGGTAGGACTTTCCAGGCAGGGCTGGGTTCCCTTCAGGAGAGTCTGAGATTTCTACAGAAGGTGTTTGATGGGTGAAGTCAGCGTTTCAAAGGTTGTGCTAAAGAAGGAGCCAGGACAATGGCAGTAACTGGTACCACAGATAATTTTAGGGACTTGCTGAAGAAATATCTCCCTCGCAGAGCTGTTTGCTGAGTTCCTTAGACTTTAAACAGACTTCATTTCATGCTAGAAACAACAGGATTCCTTGTCTTCTGTGTTTCTTTGATGCTGGGACTATCTTTCTAGCATGTAGCTTGAGGTTCAGAAATTTACCTAAGGCTACTCTCTTCCCATGCAGTAATTAATAACGAAGGAACTGTTTAGGTAACAGACTCCTCAGTGCCTTCCTTCAGTACTGGAGATTGTGGAAACATAACTTGGAGCTCAGGCAGGCCCTGATTCCTGCAGCAGGACATTGCAGGCAAAGCATTCATGCATACCCTCACTATTGAGAAGGAGCTCTCCTGGAGCAAATCTGCTCTTGGTCTTGGTGTTCAGAGCCTTCAGTGAGGTTCATTTGCTCCTGCTGCAGACACAGCAAGTGAAACTTTGTGGTAAGCAGGACAGGCAATCAAAAGACACTGTGTGCACTTGCAAAGCCTGAAGAGTAAAAAGTGCAAATATTTGTGATTGACTGGGGGATACCCCTATTGCCTGATGCACCAGTGCCCCTTTAATTCCCATTTTGTTTTCTGAAGTTGACTCTAAAACTGGTGGAAGAAAATATCTGAAGGTACCAGTAAATATGGTGGTAGCAATGTTCTGCTTTTTAAATTATTTTAAGAGTAACATTGAGGTACTACAGAGATATATTTAGTGAATTGTGCTGTTCTGGTCAAGAACCTCAGTGTTTTAAATGTTTCTTCCCTTATAGTGTGTGCAAAAGCCTTTGTCAGCCTGTACAGAGGGAATAATTGAAACAAATATTTCCCTATTTTAATTCCCCAATACTTTTCCTACACAGACAAAATTTCCTGCCTTCCTCTGTTCTCTCCAAGGGCTGTCTATAAAAATTTTATAATTTTATTGAGAGATACTTGAAGAGAAACATAAAATTCAGAATATCCTCTGCTTTGTGGATATCCTAGACTGATTTGGCTTTACCTTTTTTTTTTTTTTTTTTTTTTTTTTTTTTTTTTTTTTTGGGGGGGTGGCAGGGGGAATATTGGGGATGGAGGGAACTGTGTGTTTATTTTTCCCACTGCAGTTAGTATTTTGTTGCATGTCTTGGAGAGTGGAAGTTCTTGCCTACAGGAAGTGTCCTTTTTTTGATGGACATGGAGATCAATACAAAAATATTATTTTCTGCTTTAAATTGAGGCGCATTTTATTCCCTCCTAAAGACACTCAGCAGCTTTTATCAGATACATGAGAAAAGTGAATCAAAGCAATATGTTGCAGCAAATCCTGGCTGCTGTGCTTGTCCTGTCACTTCTTGCCTCTTGGCCACAGGGAGTGTTGGGTCTCTTCAAGAGCGGTCCTGAGCAGGCCGGTGAGGTGCTGCACTTCCATCCTCTGCCTGTTGGCCATAAGCATGGGCTGAGGCCAGTTGGTAGACAAGGATTTTACAGCTGCTTCCATCCAGCTAAGGGCTGGAAGGATGGGGTGGTTATTTCATGGAACTGCAATCCTCTTGCACCACGCAAGGTCAAATTCTCCTCTTGGGTGCACGATGTCCATGGAGTTAATCCCAACCTACAGTGGTGCTGGAAAACTCTGACCTCTACAGCTAATTTCCAATTGTAATCCTAAAAGAAGAATGGTTGGCTAGTTTTGTTTTTCTGCCCGTGCTTAAGTGCTTTTTGCTTTCATTATGGGGTGTCAAGTTGTTAATATTTATGGAGGACACAAAAGAATGAAAATTCTGTTTTGTGTTCAATCTGACATCTTTTGGCACCAAAACCCTCTAGTCATGCTAGTAGTTCAGTTTCAATTCGGCAGAGCTCTTTCGAGATGAAGTGCTTTAGAGTGTGGTTTGGCTATGAGGAGGGTTTCTATGCAAATAGTATTTAGGGGGTCTGCCTTTATTGTCTCAAATATTAATAATTTCCAGATCAAATGCAGTTTGCCTTGAGTTTGTTTCTTTGTTCTTTCTTCCTATTTTGTCAACTTGGTTAAATACATCGTCACACTTTTAAAGTCAACCTGCTTCTTTCCCTGACGCATTTGCCCCTGGACAGTGAGGTTCTGCTTGCCTCCTCCAGTTCAGTTACCCCTTTCACTCTGCCAAAGGCAGAAGCAGCAAGAAGTGGCTCCTGGGAGCTGTAGCAGAGGAATGAGCTCACCCAAGTGGGTGCACCGAGGCTCCAGGGCCACGCTGTGTTCCATGAGTCTGTGGTGGGACAATATTCTGCCTTGCTCCTGGAAAGCTCTGCCTGACCACACACCAGCACCTGTCCAGATCTGCTCAGCCCAATCCAAACTTATGAGGTTCTTCAAGGGTTCACTGAGAGATGATGTCATTGCTGGCATCATGCTGACATGCCAGGCTCTGGAGGCTTTCTCTGCAGCTCCAGCAGCACAGCCATGCATACTAACATGAGTGAAGTGACATTGCCTTGGAGGTTCTTGGGTCAGTGAAGCTTGTTCTGTGGAAAACAAAAGCTGCCTTATACAGCTCTATGTGCATTTGGCAGCAAAAATAATTTAAAAACAACAACAAAATTCTCAAGAAGGCTGTGGGGAAGGAGAGATTATTACTGAACAGGGTATTTAATTATCTTGTTAAAACAGCCCACAGATTCTTAGGACGTTAAGGAATGTTGAATACTGCAAACTGTGCCTGCAAGCACAGGTACAGAACTTGTGTTCAGAGAATATATGTTTACAGATAAGCTGCTTGCTCATGAGCAGGCATCATTTGTGACGTGTGCTTTGCATGCAGTGCTGAATCTGTGAAGTATAGCAAGCACGCACTACGAAAAAATGTTGACTTTTGAAGTATTTTATAATTCTAATGTTGAAATCACAGTTGTGTGGAAAAACCTTCTTCCAGTAAATGGCCTATGTTTCCTGCTAAGATTTCATTCATTATTTGCTATACTATCTTAGGCATACATTGCATATCCATAAGCCATGTGGAATGCTCATTTAGCCCAGACATCTCCTGGAATAAAACCCTTTAGGACAGCATGATAGCTCTCTGAGTACATGCTGGATAGTTTCAATGTCTCTTTAATACTTTTTTATAATTTATGACTGTACTATATTCTACTATTGATCAGATACTTTAATTTAAATAGGTTTCTTACTAAGGATTTGTGTATGAAGAAAGAAACACATGTTAGTAGTAGGATGTAAGCACAGATACAAATTAAATAGCAACCTTTGAGCTGGAGGCTTGGTTTGTCAGTCTCTTAGATAACCACTGCTATTGCCAGTGACCCTGTAAGTGCAGCTGTTCATATTAAATGTTCTCCATCCAGTACCCTGTCTGACACACTCCATGGTAGCATTTAATGCACTTCACACCAGCCGAATGGGGTGGAACATAAAAGTTAATTTGCAAACTTTCACATTTTCTGCCATATTTCAAAGTCCATCCAGACACTTTAGCTGAGGTTATTGTGCCAATGGATAGTGCCCTTTGATCCAAAGGAAACCAGGCTTAGCTTCTGCCACACTCTCCTCCTGCTGCAGTCTGTGTGAGCCACCAAGGGCTGTGCCTCTTGTCCAGGAAAAGAGAAACTGTGTCTTGATTTAGCTCAGTATTAGAATCCTGGTATAATGCCTGTGCTGACGTGGGATGATTACACAGCATAGTTGCCTCTCCACATTTTAGTGACCAAATGAAATGGCAGCCTGGAAGGGTCTGTCTCCCAGCGGACAGGATGCCAGTCTTCCCACCCCTCAACAAAAACTACAAAGAATTTAATGGATCTTAGCATCATCTTTCTTCTGCTCTCTGACATTTGTGATTTATAAGTGTGTAATCAATGCTTGGTTTGCTGCATGGGAATAGTAATAATTTGAGGGGTGTTTAGGGGATACTTTATGAGCTATTAAGTAACTCATTAACTGGCAGGCTGCGTACTTGACACCAGAATCCCAGGTAAGCTGAGGTGTCTTCTGACACAGTGTACCAGAGTTCAAAAATGCAGCAAATAAATGTTCATCTAATAGCTGTCATCTCCTCTCCTGTGGATAGCATGTCATTTTAAGTGGCAGAGACACAAATTGCCTTTGCTGCTGGACCTCTCCTAGAAAGAGCACCTGTTTCCGGTATCACTGACATTAATGCTAGATAAAACTTTCTGTGAAGTGGAAAATCTGTTAGAAGATGGTGTTGTTCTATAAGCATGAACATCATATTTTCTTCCTGTTATTTTTTTTAGTCTAAAGCAATTGGTCTGATATAAGGTACTTCTTTCCATAAGTGGTGGTTCACACCTTTACCTGGAGTTCCTGAGTCAGCTGCAGAACATGTCATTGTTGTACTTCTACACCCCTCGTGTTCTGCTGTCTCAGCACCTTTCAGCTGTAAATAAGGTATAGGGAAATATTATTAGATAGGCAATATTTACAGATAAACTGAGGCACAGGGCATCTCAGGGTATTTCTATGCTGCAGCTGAAGGAGGAGCATGAGTGTACATACTCTCATTATCAGCAGCTTCTTAGGACCCTTAACATAGTGGTAGCACATGAGAGCACAGACAGCAGGTTAACCTGAATACAGCAATTGCTTCTTCTCTCTTGTGGAAAGTTGTGCCCCCTGGACTGGAGCTCCCAGCAGGAAGTCCATGCAAAACCCCTTGGTTGCATGCTCTTCAGTCCAGAGCTGGAGAAGAATCAGTAGCACCTCATTTAAGTCTTCCCTTTTTCATTTGCCAGGTTAAGGAATTCTTTCTGCTCCTCTGCTCAAGCCAAGCCCAGATGGCACAGGAGTAACTGTGAGGTCAAGGTCATAGAGGACTAGCAACAACAGAAGTGTGGAGTTCATAACCATGGCAGGCCAGGGTGAGCTGCCTGAACAGGGATGCAAAAACCTTTGCTCCATCCCACACAGACAATGCCATGCATCTTCCTGGGGGAAAACAAAACCTAAGTGCTGCTTCACAGGGTGAGCAGAAGCAAGAAAAGTCCAAGCACAGTGCAGCTCAATTCACCAAGTGAGTGCTGGGTGAAGCCATGTCAGTGTCTGAGGTGCTCCTTCTGCTACCTGTGGTAACTCACTGCCTCTAATCCCTGCCATTCCCTGGCTTCCCATGGGTGCTGGCAGGGAGCAGACCAGAGTGGGCAGCTCTGTGCCGGCAGGGAGAGTGGACTGGAGGGCACCAGGTGGGAAGTACAGACCATATTCAAGTAACAGAGCTGTCAGGCAAAGATGCATTTGAAGTATTAAGGCCTGCTTCCTTGTAGATTATTGTGGTTCACGGGAAGTGCAGAGGGAAAGGAAAATAATGTGCAATATGATTTCATAGTCAGTGTAGGGTGTTGCAGAAAAATTCTCTTGATAAACTGACAACTTTACTGAACCCACAAGCAGCAGGGATACCAAGGAGGACATCTATACTGCCTGTAAGAGAACTGTTGTTTTCAGAAGTGTCTAAGGTGGCATGGAGGTATTTGCAGAGTAAAAAAGGTAAACCAAAAGTATTCTTTTCATTCCTTCCCTGAATAAAATCTCAGGGGAGACAAACAAAGCAGCATTTGGAAAAACCTGAAAGTTGTTAAGCTTCACCATGGCCAAAGCAGAACTGGAATTATACATATACAGTTTGGTCAGAAATCCCCTCTAGGGTACTAAATTTGTGGCATCTCAGCATGGTCACAGTCCTTTGGTGAAGCAAGAGAAGAGAGAAAAGAAGCTGCTCAAATTACCCTGCAAATACCAGGAAATTACCTGCATCTTATTCGGCCTCTGTTGAGTCTTAGGTTTCCTAATCCAGTTGAAAAATTTTATAATGTATACGGTATGTAAGTCACAAAAATGACAGTTATAAGGTAATACCATTTATTTTACATTGTGATGTTCAAAAACATTCTCAGTTGATAATATAAATATTCTCAAGCCCGGCTATTGGTAGACTCAGGCACACCGAATAGAATAAATTTATGAGAGTTTAGAGTGAAAGACCCTCAACTGCTTCCCGGTTTCTGGTTGTTTTTTTTTGCCAGGTGCACTGGGCTTCTGTTTTAAGCATGCACAACCCACTCCAGTAAGTGGGACAGCTTTCCAATGTGTGGTTTAAACAAATGCAAGTTAAAATTCTCCCAGATTCACCTGACTTACAGTTGATGCTGTAAGATGCGTGACAAATATTGCAAGCCACCTGTTAAATATTTTGGCAAGGTTCCCAGTTGCATCTAGCTGATAGATAATGCATCAGGTTTCAACTGTATGAAGTATTGGGAGGTATTCTAGAAAAGGCTGCAGCAGCAGGTTGTGAATGAAGCAGGAAGAGCAGAGTGTTTTTCTTTGGAAGTAACAATGTTTTATTGTTCAGATTTTTCTGCCACATCGTTGTGGTTTTGTTGTGAAGAAAAGCAGGTAAGGCTGGAAGGGCCCTCTTGAGACCATCTAGTATGAGTTCCATGTGCAAAGCTAACCAAAAGTTAGAGCATTTCTGATGAAAAATGAGGCTGGTTATACCAGGCAGTGCACTTGGCATTTCAGAAAATTGCCAGAAGGCGAGGAAGAGGAAGAAAGGGTGATGGGCTAGGAGAAAAGAAAATGTGGCTGGCTTCAAAGACTACTCTAAATGTGCTTTAAATGCCTCTGATTAAGCACTTTTCCATGCCCACCATTAAGGGAGAAAACAGATACTTCTGGGACTTTGTATTTTGCTAGGCTAAGTGATGACAATGGAGACAAATGTAGTCTTTAGTTGTAAAGTCTATAGTTGTATGGACTTTGTATAGCTAGAGTCCATACATATTAAGTTTTACATAAGCCGAAGTGAATGCTGTACTTAAAAAAGGTAGATGGCAACTCTGCAAAACATTCTGAAACCTTTCCTTCAGGCAGACTTCTCTAATGACACATTGGTACAATTGTGGTGCACAGCAACCAGCTCTCTATCTGGGGAGCTCCATTTGCAGGAACTTCAGCTGCAGAGCAATCACAACAAATGAGCAGCAGGTTAAACAAGTGTCACACATGGTGGGTGTAACACACTCAGAGGTGGTGGCTGCCACCAGGCTCCCGGCCTGGTGCAGCTGAGATTGGGACCTAACATGGTGCTTTGAATGATGGATCTCCCAGTGCACTTGGGTGAAATGAGGCTGTTTTTAATAATGTGTGTGACACATGCAAGATGGAGATCACTGGCTGTTCAGCAGTTAGAAGGAAATACCTTCAGGGACAGACTGAGGGGCTGACAAGCTGCGGCAAGAGATGAAAAAATTGCGGTGGTCAAATACATGTCTCCAGTTGCCTCTTCATGATGAGAGGCCATTTGGCATACCATACCCTTGGGGAGAGTGTTCTAGGAGCAGGCTCTAGCCAGTTGTGCTGTCTTTGCCTCTTCACTTGTGCTAAGTGTGTCAGCTCTGTGCTGCAGCATCTTTGCCCTGTGACAACCTATTTGGTGCACCACCTCCCAGTGGCTCCTGCAGGAGCAAGAGGCTGGAGGTGTATCAGCAATTCTAGTGAACTACTCTGACCTTGGACTGTTGGTGGTGAGGAGCCAAAGTTCCTATCTGGCAGGAAGTCTAAGTGTTTAAAAATTAAAATTCACTTGTAATTTAAGTGAAAAGTTAAAATCTCAGCATCTTGTGTTAAGCAAATTCAGGGAAATGGTGATTATTTCCCCAGAAATTGTTCTATTCATTTTAATGTTAAATGTAATAGTCATATTAAATATCGAATGCATAGCTACAAAGGGTCAGTGTAAATATTTACTGTAGCATTAACTATATGATATGATTGCAGAGGAATGTTTGGACTCTTTTCCCCATTACAGCTTTATCATAATCGACATGTTTCCCCAAACATTTTGGTTTGAACAAAATGTTATTGATCTTTTTCAAGAAAAACTGTTTTAGTCAGTGTTTTCCAGGCAGCTGTAGACCATGGGGTAGAAGTCAGGCTGACCTTGTCCCTTCCAGCATCCTGCAAACAGCTCTTCTGTTGGGCTGCTCTTCCAGAGTAGAGTTTTTGATAAGGCTGGGGAGGCATTGTGCTCCAGGGGTGCTTGGGTTGAATCAAATGTTGTGAAAGGAATCTGGGGCTGCTTAGCAGGAGAAAGGAGAGCAAAATGCTTTTGCTATGGGCATATTAATAGCAGAAAGAGGAGATGCTAGACCCCGCTATTTGCAGATATTCACACTGTGGTTTTGAAGCTAAATCAATGGGAGTAAGCCCCATGTCCCTTTAGGGATCAATCCCTCAATGTGTTGCAGTCTTGCATGGCTGCAACATGCTGGAGTGGGGTTGCAAACATGCTGGAAAATCCTGAACAGTGTCTCAAAAATGCTGAAGTGTCAGTTTGCCTGAAGCTCAGGTTGCTGGATCCAAGTTGCTCTGATAGGGTGGGCTGGTTGTGCCTCAGCAGTCACTGAGCACCCTTGCTGCCAGGGCTCTGTGACGGGCTTGATGGAGTCTTGTAGGAATGCTGGAGCCCTCCTGCACCTGCCTCTTCCCTGTGCACTTGAAGGCTGCTCTTCCTGCATGTCCCTGCCTGGTGGGACCTTCCCATAGGTGCAGGTGTACCTCTCATGTCCCCTCGGAGCCTTGCCTGCCTCACGGGCAGCCTCTGGGCTAGCTTGCATCCAGGCTTATCCTGCCAATGGATGAGCAGCTCTCTGGCTGAAGCAGCTGCCAGAGGAGGAGGTACAGGCAAAGCTGCTTTGTACCAGTTTAGGGTGGGCTTAATAATTTTCCACTTCTCAAAGAGACAAGGTTTTCCTACTGCTCCTGCTGTCTGTGTGTGGTGGAATAAACATCTGTTGGGCAGTTCTAGTTTGCAGGTGGGGGCAATTACCCATGGCACAGGTGTGTTATCCTCTGAAAGCTTTCATTTCTCTCAAATACATAGACATGTCTGCAAATAATTTGAGGTATTGTTATTATATAGCCTTACACCCTATGTAGGATAATTACTGAGCTTTTTTCCTTCACCTTACTGTATCTTTCTTTTATTCACCAGAGGAAAACTCCCACTTACAGCCCTCCCAGTTGCCACATAAAAACTCTCTTTGAAGTGGGAATACAAGTCACAATAAGTTTATTGTTAAAGTAAATTAGCACTGAATGAGAACACAGTGTATCTTTATAAGCCAATAAGGTTTTTGGAGAATGAGCTATTAAATTCCAGTAGTTTGGCTCCTGTTTGTGGTTCACTGCCGGCTTGTGTGAGTGCCTGATAAGAATCAGTGGGAGAATGAACTGACCATCTCCTGCAAACAAAACACCTTTTTTTGACCCCTCTGTCTGCAAAATACAGAGCCTTTAGGGTTCTGTTTCCTTTCACTGCATCTGCATCTGCAGATGATTGGAAACATACCTATAAGTCCCAGGATGTTCAGATAGAAAGTCTTGGAAGTTCAGTTCCATCTACATCAAACCCTTTGAAGTTCATTCCCATCTCTGCAAATGACTGATGGAAATGACTGATCATCTGAAACTTGTTAAGAATGTAATCCATTAACTCCCTAGTGGCTTTTGGATCAGGCCCTTGCAGTGGGCTCTCCTCAAATAAGGAGAGTTTTTGTCCATTATAGATTGGTAGAATATGAAATGGGACAAAATCTAACTTAAATTTTATTTTCCTACAGTAATTTAAATAGCCTTTAAATGGCATCCTGGCATAAAGTGATGCCTAAA